TCCAACGGCTCTGTCTCCGCCACCCCCCTCTGCCAATCCCTCCACTGGCTTCCGATTGCGCAACGGATCAAATTCAAAATCCTAACATTGACGTACAAAGCTGTCCACCATACTGCCCCGAACTACATCACCGACCTAATATCCAAGTACCGCCCAGCACGCACACTCCGCTCCTCACAAGACCTCCTTCTCTCCCTGGTTCCCTGGTCTCCTCCTCCCATGCCCGCCTCCAAGACTTCTCCAGGGCGTCACCCATCCTCTGGAACTCCCTGCCCCAACCCATCAGATTATCACCTACTCTTCTCTCCTCTCCTTTAGGCGCACCCTGAAAACCCACCTCTTCAGGGAAGCCTACCCCACCCCCTGCTAACTTGTCGACCTCCTCCACTCTTCCTACCACTCCATCCCCCACAGCTATCTCCTCCTGTGCCACCATCCCCTCCCTCCTAGATTGTAAGCTCAAAAGAGCAGGGCCCTCAATCCCCTCATGTTTTGCATTGTATTGGTATTGTTCTGCCACATGTTCTGTCCCCCTTTGTAATGTACAGCGCTGAGCGAACTATTGGCGCTTTATAAATACTGTATAATAATAATAATATATTCTTTTAACACTGCAAAACCTCAACATGACTAACATAAATGTATAATTGCTTATTACCCAAAACCCTCGCTTTCAAGCATTTTACTTTTACTAGAATATTTATTGTGTTAGCTGAAAGAGCTTCTTTTTTAAATAAAAAAAAGTTGACACATAATGAGCATGAGGTGCTAGAGGTTGCAAAGGTAAAGTCAGATGAGGAGGAGGACATCTACAAAATCAGAAACCTAAAACCACAGCAAAACGTAGCAGTCACACTCTGCACTTCTCAGAATCGAGTGACACAAACTGGGACTCTGAATTGAACAAGGCTAATTCTCATAATGTGCAATGAGCTGTTTTAATAGGCAGGCTCATCGCTATGACCAACAGAAAGTAATTGTTTCTTAGATACCCTTTTCACACCACAATGCTGCCTAAAGATGAGTCGCGGTGTGTTTTTTTTTTTTTTTTTTTAAAGTGCAGACATGCAGCATCCATCCACAATGCACCACTTCCAGCCATGTCACTGCCAATCACTACTCCTCAAGAAAGAATGAAATGTAATTTGTTTTGTGATATCTCAATAAAGTTACAAACACACATTAGTAAACAGTGCTTTGCATTATAACACAATTCCAGACAGCAAGTGAAACAAATGAGAGAACAGCTTGAAATTCTACCTTCACAATGGCAAGATTTCCTTAACAGCTTCAGCAGTTCACAGACTGATTTTATTTACAGTTCGGTATTGCTTTGTAAGCATAGTAGAAGAACCTCGCTGGCAGCCGCAAGAAAAACAGCTTGTCATCTGAGTCCCGCTGTCTGTGCCAATGGATGCAGCACCAGGGCTCGGGAGCAAGCATGGGCATGTGCCCCATGTGAGGCAGCTTCCCATGGGGGCACTGGACAGAGGAGGATCCAGGTGCTCCAGCAGGGGACCCAAGAAGAGAAGGATTGGGGCTGCTCAGTGCAATTCCATTGCACAGAGCAGGTAAGTGTAAAAGAAATTTTAAAAATAAATCTTCTCTATAATTACTTTATATATACAAACATTTAAACTTTTAGGCTGCGTGTTCAGGGTCCTCCTCTCTAACATTCCATAGGTAAAATGCTCAGATTAAATTATGCACCGAAAGCGTATTTCAAACACTTATTTTAATCATCTAAAGACTCTAAATCTAATTTAGAAGAATTCTAACAAAAGGCTTCTAATCTCACTTAATGTGTTTTCAAAGTTCATTTAAACTGTGGTTAATCAGCTTGGTGAATAATGCAGCATGCAAGAGAAAATGTGATCACAAAGGCAGCCACCCACTTCCTTCCTGCAGAGAAGCAATGTGAAAGATCTGGAGGCCGTGCAGGTAAAACCACCTTGTCAGTTCTATGAAACGACATGCAAGACCACAGAAGAGAAGGTTACAAGGGTTTCTATAGGTCTTCGTGCCCCCATAAACTATTCACTATGCTGCAGCCTTACAAAACACGCATTATAAAAAGAAAGGGAACTTAAAGTGTTCTTAACCCCTTCCAGTCCGGACACTTTTACCCCCTTCCTGACCAGGGCAATTTTCAGCACTATCACACTTTGAATGACAATTGCGCGCTCATGCAACACTGTACCCATATCAATTTTTTACAATTTTTTTGAGACAGATAAAACTTTATTTTGGTGGTATTTATTCACCACTGGGATTTTTATTCTCTTTGCTATGTAAATGAAAATGTCAAAAAATTTTGAAAAAAGTGTTTCTAATAAAATTTTGCAAATAAATAATATTTCATCATAAATCTTGGCCAAAATGTATTCTGTTATTTTTGTAGTAAAAAAAAAAAAAATAAGCCAAATTAGTTTATAATCAAATTATATTTTTTAAAACTTTTTTTTTTTCATTTTTATTTTTTTTTTAGATTTAATTTTTTTTTTTTTTTTTTTTACATACTGTCACGCTAGCAGTACAGTGTCACCATGCACTATGTACTACTTTTGGGGGGTGATGAAGATTTTTTTTTTTACACTGATTGCTTTTACACCCATATAGGATGTAAAAGCAATCATTTCTCTTTCTCTCTGTCTGCATTCTTGCAGCCATTGAGAACTACTGAGTGAGCTGTGATTGGTCACAGCTTGTCACATGGTACTGTTGTGAATAGCCTTGTACCATGTGACCTCTGATCATTCACAGATTTCACACGTAGTAATGATGACACAAGTGACATCTTGCCTACTACTTTGCATGTGATCACTGATTGGCCAATCAGTGATCACATGATCGGGACCTCGTACAGAGGTCCCGTCCGACGATCTGTGTTTCACTGCGTCTGGAGGACACAGCGGGCACGGAATCGCGGTGCTGCGCGCTCCCGAGGACACAAGCAGGGTGCGGGGAGGCCGTTTATAAACGGCCACCCGACCCTGCAGTGCCACCGTCCGGCCGTTTATATACAATGGCTGGACGGGAGGTGGTTAAACAACTTTCATGCAATCACATAACCACATTAAAGGTTCCATGCACACTAGCGTTTTTTTTTTTTAAGCTCCTAGAAGCTGTTATCAGCATTTTTGTTCTGCTCCTGGAAGCCAATAGTGTTATCCTATGTGCCATGAACACTATTGTAGGCTAGTAGTGTTTTTCAAACTTTAGAGTTTAGGAGTAGAAAAAAAAATTGTTTTTGTGGAGTGTTTGGGAGCGTTTTTCCAGTAGAAATAAAAATGCTCAATGCACCTACAAAAAATTTTTCCAGGTTTTTTTCTCCTTCTATGGGTACTGTAAAAACACTCCTAAAATGTTACTGCAAGCCAGCACAAAAACTCTAATATTGGTATTTTTCTTCCAGCTTTTTTTTTCTAGCATTTTTGAGCTTATAAAAAAAAAAATGTTACTGTCCATGGAGTCTTGGGCCTTATGTACGCTGCAGCTCCTAAACTGACGTTCAGGAGCTGTTCAGCGGTTTTTTCAGCAGCCCCTGAAGTCTCCCTAATGTTTTCCTATGTGTCCATGTGCACAGTCGTTTACAGGCATTTGAGTTTACAGTCTTTTTTTGAATGCATCAAACTTGCGTTCAGGAGTAAATTTTACCGGAGTTTCAAATGCCAAATGATTGTAAACACTTTTAATCGCGCTTATAAGCGTTTGCGTTTAGAAGTGTTTTTTTTTTTTTTTTTTTTTTTAACTGTTCCATGTCCAGATGCTGTCCAGAGCCTTTTTTCGTCAACAGAAATGCATGCAAAGCGTTTTCCATGTATTCAAATATCTAGCACACCAGCGCAGTCAGTTCCAGGTTTTGCGTGAAGAAAAAAATGGTAGAACGTGCCGCATTATGCTCATGATAGGATCCATAGTGAATACAACCAGAAAAGACAGGTCATCTCAACACATACTGCTCTCTCTGCTTCTGCTCTCTGAAAATGTCTGAAATAGTGAATTATTTCCTATTTTTCAGTGCATTCTGGAAGGTCTCCTGAGGTTCTTTTTTAAAAACGCTTCTAAAACGCACATAAACGCAGTATGCAAACACAGCTAAACTGAAATTTTTTAACCTACGTTTTCTAGCAGTCAATTTCCATCGTTCAGAAGAGTTTTCCAAACGCCCCGTGTACATGGAGCCTTACAACTCCCATTGTCTTTTCACTTCGGAAATTGCCTCTACTTTCCTCTTCTGGATCCCTTTTTTTATTTTTGTATACCATTACTTCAGTTTCTGCATTAAATTCTATCACAAGCAGGATCTCTATGGAGCCACTGCAGCTCACGCTTTCCCAGTGGGGCTACATAGCAGTGTGAAACCGCTCTATGTGCTGATGAAAGGTGTGACCAGCCCACATACGTACGATGTGTCCATCCTGGGCAAGTGGGCCGATCACAACTTCTATCTGCAGCCCTCTGTTAACCTCCCTAGCGGTCTAATTATGTCCATATTTCTGTGCTCAAAGCGGTACATTTTTTTGCATGGAAATATGTATTTTTTTTTATTGTAGGTCTGTAATTTTTAGGAATAACTCACTGAAATCTGTCCGAACAAGAGAGTCTAGTAAACATTCCGGGTATGTTAAAATTTGAAAAACGAAATCATAAATTATAATTTAATAAATAATCATAAAAAAATAATAGAATAAATTTAATTCAATAATATAATCAAACCAAAAACACTGAAATGTGAAATATAGCGCCAAGTTTGCACATCACTGAGCAAAGTCACAAAATCGTTTTCAGTGTCTGATAACAAATTTCCCCACTAATCATTATCACTCAATTCTGCAAGTGGTTCTGATTTACTATCGCTGTTCTCTAGCTGATCTAAAACCGCTTTTGACCTAAAGGGACACTTTTTGGATGCCATGGACGTTTCTCAGTTTCCAGGCAGAAAGAACAGTAAAAATGCAGGCAGGGCGCAGGGCGCAGGACAAAGCACTCGGGACAAAATGTATGTGAAATGGTTTGATACAGTAATGTTATACTATGTAATTTTAGTGAATGTCACTTTTTGTCATTTTTAAATTTCCCGCTGCGCCATTCCCGTACGTCCCGACGTTGCGGGGGACGGAACCCAGAAGACAGATGCCGGCATCGGCTGGAGGACATGACAGGGGATGCTGCAGGAGAGACATCGCGGGGGAGGACAAGGTAAGTGAAGAAGAGATCCCGGAGCAACGCTGCAGGGTATTCCTGAGTGTAGCTCGGGGTTACCGCTTGTGGTGCTGAAACTTGACCCCGAGTTACACTCGGGAATACCGCCAGGGAGGCTACAGCATTGCCCATGTGCATTACCAATGTGCACAAGTGATCATGTATTGTGAAGTTTTGGAAAAAGTCAACAATATGATCCAGTCTCCAAATGTTTAATCCTCATGATCAAGTTTTACAGACAAGTTCTAGGTCAGTGATTGCTGTCACTAAAGTATTAAAACCAGAGGGTCATCTTAGGCAGACTGGACATTTTTGATGCTGCTCTTAGGGGGTGTCAAACACGCTCGACACGTGTAAACATGCCTAAACTAGACCCTTGAGTGTTAATTAATTTCAATGGCCAGATTAAATTATTTTTCTGGCCAATGAAATGAATGAATGTCCGAGCACTTGACACACCTAAATGCGTTACAGGCATTTACAAGCGCTCTTTCTGCCAAAAACACAGCTGCCAGGAGAAAGGCATCTAGGAGGTTAGAAAACATCCAGTGTGCATAAAGCCTTACAGTCAGGCTAATAGCATTTTAAGGAGATCAACAATGACAGTCTATGCATTTCTCACAAGGAAGGATTAACTGAATACAGGAATACCTGTCAATTTATTGAAAGAGGTTGTAAATCTCAGACATTAATATGAACAAAGCATATCTCTCTATAATGTGTCCCAATTCTGAGCATGCGTCATTTCTCTATGCTGCTTTGTTCCTCTGCTATCAGCATGAGTCACTTCTGACAAGATTTTCCTGACATCAAGAGAAAAATGGTGACGGGGGGAGGGATCTCCAGAAGATTGACAGCCTCACCTTGGTTCCTGTGAGCTGTGTGTGGAGAGGGGTGTGTCTATTCACTCCAATCAGCTCTCGGAGCTCTCCTCGTTAAGCCTTGAAGTGTGTAATTTCAGCTCTCCAACCCATTTTTTGACATCTCAAACAAGCTGTATAAATTCTAAACTTTATAGGGATACAGAGAAGAGAATATTGCAGATAAACAGGCACAACTTATGCAGGAGGATTTGGTTCATCTCTGTGCAGGCCAGTCACTTCACTAGGTATATGTAAGAGTTTACAACTACTTGTGTTGTGTTGAGAAAAAAAAAAATCACAGGGGAGGAATTACAATAAAAACTCCAAAACTATATGTTCCTGCGCCAAGCTTGGATCGTACAAGTCCTGCTAAAAAAAAAACAATCCATGGATCACTTCTGAAATTATAACAATAGGATATCGCTGCTCATGGGTGCTGCAGCTTTCTCAAGTCCACTGGGTAATGGAAAAGGCTGGAGAGGCATAGTAAAAAGAGCGCAGAGACCCTAGTGCAATGGAAAAGAAGATGGAATGGAAAAGGTTTTATTGCGCTAGGGTCTGTGTTCTCTTTTTACTTTATGTCTCTTGGAGGAATTACAAGGTCTTGCATTCACAGAGATATGAACTGTACAACATGAGCACAATTGCTTAATGGGATTCATTTACAATAAATACACAACTGTCATTCTAATCTATATACATATAACAAAAAATTCAAGAGAACATTTCCTACAGTTTTGAAGTACAGACAGCAAAGTCTGAGTATTGAAAGAAAAACACCCAGTTGCTGTCTATCTCTCATCCACTTTATAATTAACTTTCTTCTTGAAAAATTTTAATACAAGTCAAATATTAACTTATACTGTGCCACCATATTGAACCTTCAAACTTGACAAACAGATGAAGCATAAAGTAAACTGTCAATGCCATTCTGGAACTATAGAAACTGCCCAAACGTCTGTTCGTGTTCTAAACCTGTACAACCTCAGTATATAGTGGACGTCTGCCAAAGTCAATAATGGTCTCCAAACTGCGGCCCTTTGTGTGCCTTTATCCAGCCCTTGGGATGCAAGGCACTATTGCTATTGTTTTGACTGATGCAAGGCACTATTGATGACTATTGCTCCCACTGACACCAACGATGGGACACTATTCCTCCCACTGACATCGATGGGGAACTATTCCTCCCACTGACGCCAACGACGGGGGCACTATTCCTTCCACTGACGGGGGCACTATTCCTTCCACTGACATCGACGGGGGCACTATTCCTTCCACTGACGCCAACGACGGGGGCACTATTCCTTCCACTGACGCCAACGACGGGGGCACTATTCCTTCCACTGACGCCAACGACGGGGGCACTATTCCTTCCACTGACGCCAACGACGGGGGCACTATTCCTTCCACTGACGCCAACGACGGGGGCACTATTCCTTCCACTGACGCCAACGACGGGGGCACTATTCCTTCCACTGACGCCAACGACGGGGGCACTATTCCTTCCACTGACGCCAACGACGGGGGCACTATTCCTTCCACTGACGCCAACACGGGGGCACTATTCCTTCCACTGACGCCAACGACGGGGGCACTATTCCTTCCACTGACGCCAACGACGGGGGCACTATTCCTTCCACTGACGCCAACGACGGGGGCACTATTCCTTCCACTGACGCCAACGACGGGGGCACTATTCCTTCCACTGACGCCAACGACGGGGGCACTATTCCTTCCACTGACGCCAACGACGGGGGCACTATTCCTTCACTGACGCCTGACGGGGGCACCAACGCCAACGACGGGGGCACTATTCCTTCCACTGACGCCAACGACGGGGGCACTATTCCTTCCACTGACGCCAACGACGGGGGCACTATTCCTTCCACTGACGCCAACGACGGGGGCACTATTCCTTCCACTGACGCCAACCACTGACGCCAACGATGGGGGCACTATTCCTTCCACTGACACCAATGATGGGGCACTATTCCTTCCACTGACACCAATGATGGGGGCCACTGACGCCGACGATGGGGGCACTATTCCTTCCACTGACAGGGGCCAACCAACGATGGGGCACTATTCCTTCCACTATGATGGGGGCACTATTCCTTCCACTGACGCCAATGATGGGGGCTTCCACTGACGCCGACGATGGGGGCACTATTCCTTTCACTGACGCCAACGATGGGGGCACTATTCCTTCCACTGACACCATTATGATGAGGCACTATTCCTTCCACTGACACCAATGATGGGGGCACTATTCCTTCCACTGACGCCGACGATGGGGGCACTATTCCTTCCACTGACACCAACGACAGGGGCACTATTCCTTCCACTGACACCAACGACAGGGGCACTATTCCTTCCACTGACACCAACGACAGGGGCACTATTCCTTCCACTGACAACAATGATGGGGGCACTATTCCTTCCACTGACGCCAACGATGGGGGCACTATTCCTTCCACTGACACCAATGATAGGGGCACTATTCCTTCCACTGACACCAATGATGAGGGCACTATTCCTTCCACTGACACCAATGATGGGGGCACTATTCCTTCCACTGACGCCGACGATGGGGGCACTATTCCTTTCACTGACGCCAACGATGGGGGCACTATTCCTTTGACGCCACCTATTCATTACACTGGCATTAGTGATGAGGCACTATTCCCTCCACTTGCACCAATGACAGGGACTGTTCCTCCCACTAATACCAGCAGTGGGGCAATATTCCTCTTCCTCCTAACCACAGGTGCTTACTCCTCAAGCATTACCACCATATAATTTATTGAATGACAAATGGATACTCACAAGTGATTAAAAAAAGCAGGCATATAACATGAATACTTTTGAGCTCTGAAGAAGAGAGCTAGACTCGTGAAACGAGTTTGATTTCCAATCAGATGGTTCATGATGGGACTTACTGCCCAAGGCTGAAGTATTCATGTTATATGCCTGCTGTTTTTAATCACTTGTGAGTATCCATTTGTCTTTGGGGAGTCAATAAAAATTGTATGGTGCTAATGCATTTGGAGTTTGCGCCCTCTTGTGTGTTTTTTTTTTTTTTTCACAGCTGAAGACTTTCCAATCTGTGGAGGATTGCACCAGAGGACGCATTGAGCATCTAAGCACTGTTGAGATCACCTTGAATCGAGTTCTGGTGAATTTAGTAACCACAGGCGACGTGTAAATTTTGGCATTTACTCCTGCTTACCACCAGGCCCGAGGCATTGTCTATTTTTACTGGCCACAATCCGCCCCTTAAAGTCTGGAGGACCATAAACTAGCCCTTTGCTTAGAAAGTTTGGAGACCCCGGCTGTAAACATACTAGTCTAAAAATATAGAACACAGTAGTTTATTGGAACCAGGGAACACTAGGCTTTAAAATTCAGACTCTGAAATACTCCATACATATGGATATGTAGAGGAAGCCAGGTGTAGGAGGTCAATGCCAAAATGATAATTGAATCCTCTCAAGCGGAAGATCCCTCAAAAGGGATGCAGACAACAATATAAAATCTGACAGATGTTCTAACCTTTATCTGTTCTGGGAAAAAATTTGGGCAAGAATTTCACTTTACATCAATCTTAACCTTTCAACTTTTTTTTCTTTTTAGCAAAACCCAATTCAACTTTGGCATTGTTCTAGGAGCACATATAGCAGTTATTTGGCTGATTTATGATTAGGTGCCTTTGTCCTGCTTTCTGGATGTAGATCAGAAATAGAGCCTGTGCAATCCTTGCAGGTTAGAGGTTTAGGAGATTGAGTGTTGGGCCTTTCAATTACTAGGTGCCCCTGCCTTCTCTTTCATCACTGAGTGCCTGTGCTCTCCACTAAAAAAGGAAGAGAAGGGGTATAGGGGTTGACAGACACAAACTCTGTGATGGTGGTTAAAGGCGAAGCCTGAAAAATTCTAATGTATGAAAAGGTATCTAAGCTTGAGATCCCATACAGAAACCATTGCAGGCAGAGAAAATGTGGAGTTACAGCACAAGCAGAACACACACAAAAAAAAAAAAAAAAAAAACATGCAGTCTTTAATCCTGCACTTGGGTTAAAAGTATGGGTCATTACTAATCCATCTTCCTGGAGACACCAATGCTTTTAGAGGTGTATATAGACCATACCCTCCTCTCTGGGAAACGCCACCTTCTGACATAACAGGGCAATCAACTTTACTGTGGAACTAGAATGCTTTAAACTAATGGAAAAAGAAAATAAGGGGGGGGGGGGTAAAAATAAATAAATGCAAATCTTTTTACTGGTAAAAAATGTTCATTTACCATTTCTTTTTACACTGCAGCCTGTAAGGCATGGTTGGCCTGAATGCCAGGATCCTGCAGACTCTCTGCCCGCACCCCCATATGGACAGGCAGTTACTGAATTGCAGGAAGAATCAATGCTCCACCAGCATCCTCATATTTCATTAAACCGTCTGCCACAAGGGCTGATAGTACTTGAAGTTAATTCACTCACAGAACTCTGAATGAATGACGCAGCTGAGTGGGTGGTGGGGTGAGACGAGGATTGGGGCAGATGCTTTATTGTAACATGTCAAACCCTAAACACGACTAACAGTTACAAAGGGGAACTTCTCCTTTAAGGGTGAATGATCATTACCAGGGCAGTATTTCCTATCTACCAATAGCTTTTCGGCCAATGTGGCCAAAAACAGGCAGCTGAATGCCTATTTGAAGTCTCTCACCATTTTTTTTCCTCATTTTACTGCCAACCCTTCTATACTATATATATATACACACACACACACACACACACACAGACACGATTGCCAAGAGTATTGGGACCCCTGCCTTTACACGCACATGAACTTTTTAGTCTTAAGGGTTCAATATTGAGTTGGCCCCGCCCTTTGCAGCTATAACAGCTTCAACTCTTCTGGGAAGGCTGTCCACAAGGTTTAGGAGGGTGTCTATGGGAAGGTTTGACCATTCTTCCAGAAGCACATTTGTGAGGTCAGACACTGATGTCGGGGAGGAGGCCTGGCTCACAGTCTCCACTCTAATTCATCCAAAGGTGTTCTATCGGGTTGAGGTCAGGACTCTGTGCAGGCCAGTCAAGTTCCTCCACCCCAAACTCACTCATCCATGTCTTTATGGACCTTGCTTTGTGCACTGGTGCGCAGTCATGTTGGAACAGGAAGGGGCCATCCCCAAACTCTTCCCACAAAGATGGGAGCATGAAATTGTCCAACATTTCTCGGTATGTTGCCTTAGGAGTTCCCTTCACTGGAATTGAGGGGCCAAGCCAAACCCCTGAAAAACAACCCCACACCATAATCCCCCTCCACAAAACTTTACACTTGGCACAATGCAGTCAGGCAAGTACCGTTCTCCTGGCAACTGCCAAATCCAGACACATTCATCAAATTGCCAGACAGAGAAGTGTTAATTCGTCACTACAGAGAACACATCTCCACTGCTCTAGAGTCCAGTGACGGCATGCTTTACACCACAACATCCAACGCTTTGCATTGCACTCGGTGATGTAAGGCTTGGATGCAGTTGCTCGGCCCTGGAAACCCATTCCATGAAGCTCTCTACGCATTGTTGTTGTGCTAATCTGAAGGCCACACAAAGTTTGGTTTTTAGCCATTGACTCGGCAGACAGTTGGCGACTTCTGTGCACTGTGTGCTTCAGCATGCGCTGACCCCGCTCTGTCATTTTACGTGGCCTAACACTTGGTGGCTGAGTTGCTGTTGTTCCCAGTTGCTTCCACTTTGTTATGATACCACTAACAGTTGACCGTGGAATATTTAGCTGCCAGGAAATGTCACGGATGGACGTATTGCACAGGTGGCAACCTATCACGGGACCACGCTTGGAGTCACTGAGCTCCTGAGAGCGACCCATTCTTTCACAAATGTTTGAAGCAGTCTGCATGCCTAGGTGATGATTTTATACACCTGTGGCCATGGAGGTGATTGGAACACCTGAATCCATTGATTTGGAGGGCTGGCCCAATACTTTTGGCAAAATATAGTGTATATATATATATATATATATATATATATATTTATTTTTTTTTTTAACCAATGTTTGTAGAAGCAGTCTGCATGCCTAGGGGCTTGACTGTATACACCTGTGGCCATGGAGGTAATTGGAGCCAGAGTCCAATGACTTGGAGGGGCGTCTCAATACTTTTGGCAATATAGTGTATATGAAACCAGAAGATCAAATTTAAAAAGGTAATAGATTTTAAAAAATTATTAAAAATCATAGGGACCCTTTGATCCCCTAAAATGTGCTGGCTTTTTATACTATAAGAATCTAAACTTTAGACATTCTGCATCTGCAGATTTGATCCATGAAAACCCATTCACTACTTGAGCAAAGAGCTGACCTTTGGCCACCACATCTAACAGAGCTGCCCAAAGAAAATCAATCCCTCTGTACTGCTTAAAAAGAAAAAAAACAGAATAAAAGGCGTTCTGTGAGGAAGGTATAGGAAGGGTGGATAAATAAGGGGATCTCCCCTTGTCTGGGTGGGGGGGGGGGGGGAAATAGTGAACAACACTGTGCATTAGCTGGAACTGTCAGTTTCATCTCCTGATGATCACAGCTGACAATAATATCCGCAATGAAAAATAGGGTTTTTAGTATCCCCAGCAAATATCCAGATCTAGTATAAACAGAACTGAAGTAAACCAGTAAACCTGTCTGGAGCAAGGAAACCTCTAAATGCAGTTTTGACTGGGTTATACGTAACACCTGACTGAAAACACTTACTGCATTAAGAGATCTATCTGCGGCCCTATAGGGAAATACTATACCTTATAGTTGTCACAAGAACAGGAAGGGATGTGAAATATTCCCATGGTAATACATGTTCCAGTATCAAGGTAATGGACTGTGTCACCCGCTCACCCCCCCCCCCCGCCATCCCCCCCCCCCCCCCCCCCCAAAAAAAAAAAACCCCACTTACCCGAGTCCTAATATTGATCCAGCGCTGTGCCCATCTACTGTTATTCTCCCATCTTTCTGTTCTCAGAGAAATATCGGGCAAAATCACCCCCCATTGACTTGACTTCAATGCAAAATCACGTCCCACTGGCTTCAATGCAAAGACGCCTCTATAGGTTTTTTTTAATTTTATATATATATATTTTATTTTCTGTACAATTTTTTTGTGTGTTACTTTCAATAAAAGTTATTTTATGTTACTAAATTGTTTTTAAATTCATATTCATTTAAATTCATGATATTAATTAAAAATTTGAATACAATACAATTACGGTATACTGTATATAAAAAAATATATTTTAAAAAAACTGTCCATTTTGGTTTTCAGCCAAGTACTTCCTGAATTTTTGGTTTCAGTCCAGAATTTTAATTTCAGTGCACTACTAATCCTTACCCTAAACATATTTCAATAGTGATGACTGGATAATAGAAGGCAGCCAAGGGATAAGTCCGTGTATGGGTTGAATGAAAAGAAAAAAAAGTGACTATTTCCTCGTTCACACATTCGAGATGGATGTTGGATTCCTCCCCGCTGTCAGAATAGACGGATCAGCATTGCCGGCTATAGCCTGCAGCACTGATCAAGCTGGGAAAACCAAACAGGACGGTTGTGCAGAAGTCGATCAGTACAACCACAGTGCCCATACATGGATTAAAATTCGGCTGATCCCTGGTGATCCATCCAAATTTTGATCCATGTATGGCCAGCCTAAGGTCCCGTAAAACAGTCCGACCTTGCCCATGTGACAACCTTAACAAATGACTTTTTTTTTTTTTTTAAGCAAAAATTAAATAGTAAAACTCATGCTGTCTGTAAAAGAAAAAGGGGGTATACTTTCCTTTCCTGATGCCCATACCGCCATACTCCACCCCGCTACCAGGAAGAGCTGCAGGTGACTCCGGAGAGTGACACCGCCAAAAAAGTGGCTTTTGGTGGATCATTTCTACGGAACAAAATGGCATTTGGTGGTGCAGGCACCAGGAAAGGGGATATTTAATGTTCATTTTTCACAATACAGTGATTTTAAAAGGGCCGGCTCAATGACTATCATCTTTGTCCTTTCATTAGTAGTCAAACAAGTGGCCAATAGTGGAGAAGCTACAAACTTTTTTATGAGGAACCTGTAAAAATATGACAACACAACGCATAAAAATGATCCGGACCCATCAAAACCTAATCATTACATGGAATCTCTGGAAAAGATTTACAATGAATTCCGTAGTTTCTAGGACAATTAAAATGTGTATAATTTCCACAATGATTACAGCAGCTACTCAAATGTTATTGTACATCAAACCCATTACAGACGGAGAGCAGTTGTAACATTCTCCTGAATTTCCCGGAGGGCACAGCACAGGAACAGTGATAACACAGCCATGTGTTCCTCTGACAACACACAATGACACTGCAGTAAAGGAAAGCTGTCAGAAAAGGAAAACGTAGGCTGCCATTGGTGACCTCTTCCTTTGAAAATGCCAATCGCTTGTCAAGCTGATCCAAAGCTTAGAATTCCAAAACATGTCCTGAGAGAATTGTGGAGACTTCCATTCCTTCTGAAAATACCAGATACATGGCTATCATGCTGATAAATCAGCCTCAGTGCATTCTGCATCACTGACCTTGAACAAGTACAGCCATAATAAATGTTGACACTTAAGAGCATGCATGTTCCAGGTCTGTGGCCAACAAACTGACCTCGAACACAGCCAAGCAATGAGCATTTTGTAGAATGAAATCAGCAATGGCGGCCCCATACCGCTCTCTCACGACAAGGTCACTTAATGCTTTCACTACTTCCAACAAATGTAGAAACTGTATGTAAAGATACATTATGACTGCAAGTGCTGCATATTAAGCGACAAAACGTGTTATTGGTCCTACTAATAGTACCTGGTGAAAGGAGTTCACTGTTTATTAAAAAAAAAAACAACAACATGAATATATATATATACACACACACATATATATATATATATATATATATATATATATATATATATATATATATATATATATATATATATATTTATATATATACACACACACACACACACACACACACACACACACACACATATATATACACACACTCACTCATACATTATATATATACATATATATACACACACACACACACACACACACACACACACACACACACACACATATATATATATACACACATATATATATATATATATATATATATATATATATATATATATAGATATAGATACACACATATATATACACACACACACACATACACACACACATATACACACATATACATATATACACATACATACATACATATACTACTACAGCGCTCAACAGCACCGTGGACGTTCATTGTTAACTACAAGCAGACAGCCGGAAAGGTTGTCGGAATTTGTAGTTTCCCATTCACAGCACACTGTGAATGAATGACGCAGGCATGGAGAGCCCTTTTTTTTTTTTTTTTTTTTTTTAAATTGTGACATTTAGTAGGGGGAAGAATACGGGTGTAACATGCAACAAGTGCCGAAAGGTGAACTTGTCCTTTAAATCACTATTAAAACAAATCCAAAAATGTACTAATATTGCAGCTTACCAATCCTTGGATGCAGTGGCTGCATTCGTTTTCTTTTTTTAGTGTTTTCCCTCTGTTTTCACTTGGTGATCTGGCAAGTAACACGCCTGCTGCATTAGAGTGGATGGAGGAGCTACAGAGACACCATTAGACAGCAGCATTATCAGTCGGGGGAGGGGTTGGTGTTAGATGTACTAGCAGATTTAAATACACTAACATACTGAAGCCAAACTCCAGCTCACACATTTTTTTCTGCCTCAACCCCCGTGTTCAAGAGCAGCGGTATTTTGGTACTTGGGTGTTAATCCATTTCAATTGCCAGAATAAATGATTTGGGTTAATGAAATGAATCAATGCCCAAGTGCCTGATGCGCCCAAACACATTACAAGCGTTTACAAGTGTCAAGCATTTCTTTTTGCCAAACACTGCTGCCAGGAGGAAAGGCATCTAGGACTGTTGGCAAAATGTCCTGCATGCATGAGGCCTTATAAACAGGTTATTTTTTTTTTCTTTTAGGATAAATGTTTTACATAAATACAATCTGATCATTGTAAGCACTCCTGGCAGTGGTAAAGGGTTTGTCTCATCTCTGTGATACATCAGGTGGGGGGTGGGGGGGCTTGTTCAACAAACCTACTGTCCAGATCACACAAAAGAAAGAAAGCCTAAAAAAGAAAACTAATGCAGCCACCACATCTAAGAATTGGAAAGCTGCAATATAATAAAGGTTTGCTTTTGGGTTTAATACTGCTTTAAGGTAACCATTTTCTAATCTGCATCAACATTTAGCACAGCAACTCACTAGAAGCTAGTAAGGGTTTGTAGAGAATGAGGTACTACACGTCTCATGCCACAGCTTTGCTGCTCAAAGAAAACATCTGCCTCTGGTGACAGGTACACTTTAAATGGTGCATTCCAAGTAAAGCTCTTCATTGCAATTTGTAGTTTTACCAGTTTGTTTGAGGTGAAAGTTCGCCATCGCTTAATTTTGAGGAAGGAGATAAAAAAAAAAAAAAAAAAAAAAAAGTATAAAAAGAAAAAAAAAAAAAAAAAAAAAAAACAATTCTCAGCATTAGTCCTGACCTACGCAGTCTACTGAGCTATATATATATATATATATTAGTATATGCCCTCTGAGGTGCAGCCATGACACAACGCATACGTTACCATTGCTGAGGTTCCCCAGCGTGGAGGAAAGCCCCGCAGACGTGAGGTCAGGCAAGCTGGCTTCCATCCTAGCACCTATTTCACACGTCCTAAAGTCGAATTTGTCAACGTTTCCTCGCAACCTCCAGAGCTTTCAGAGCAAATCCCAGAGCACTGCGACACACGTCATGCTTTGAATTGCGAGGAAATCCTCTCGGCCCAGATGGCCAACCACAAAGCACTTCTGTATTGGCACAAAGAAATCCTCAAGAAGACACTCGCACCGCCTGCCCTGCCTGCTTCCCCTGTGCAGGGCTCCAGCATGGAGGGGGGAGACAGCAGTCAAATCTCAGTTTGGTGCTAGTAATGAGAGTCAAATGTCAGCAGTTCAGAGCACACAGTCATCCTGACAAGCAAATGCCTTTCCCTTACTACACGGCCTATCGGTTACATGAAAACACTTCAGGTTGGTCCCCCCACCATTCTCCGGCATTGCCATTTGTAAAATGCAGCTGCTCTTCATCCCCCTTACACCTGAAAAATGGAGTGAATTGAACCAGCATTGTGTCCTACATTCAGAGAAAACAAAAAAGTTTTTTTTTTTTCTTCCTTCTTGGTTAGATATTTCTGTAAATTGATTAGCTTTAACCTCCCTAGCGGTCTGATTATGTCCATATTTCTGTGCTCAAAGCGGTACTTTTTTTTGCATGGAAATATGTATTTTTTTATTGTAGGCCTGTAATTTTTAGGAATAACTCACTGAAATCTGTCTGAACAAGAGTCTAGTAAACATCCCGGGTATGTTACAATTTGAAACATGAAATCATAAATTATAATTTAATAATCATAAAAAAATAATATAATAAAAAATTTAATTCAATAATATAATAAAAACCAAAAACACTGAAATTTGAAATAGAGCGCCAAGTTCGCACATCACTGAGCAAAGTCGCAAAATCGTTTTCAGTGTCTGATGACGAATTTCCCCCACAAATCATCACTCAATTCTGCAAGTGGTTCTAATTTACTATCGCTGTTCTCTAGCTGATCTAAAACCGCTTTTGACCTAAAGGGACGCTTTTTGGACGCCATGGATGTTTCTCAGTTTCCAGGCAGAAAGAACAGTAAAAATGCAGGCAGGGCGCCGGACAAAGCACTCGGGACAAAATGTATGTGAAATGGTTTGATACAGGAATGTTATACTATGCGATTTTAGTGATTTTAGTGAATGGCACTTTTTGTCATTTTCAAATTTCCCGCCATTCCGTCCCCAGTACGTCGCAGGGAACGGAACCCAGAAGACAGATGCCGGCATCGGCCGGAGGACATTACAGGGGACACTGCAGGAGGGACATCGCGGGAGCGCAGGACAAGGTAAGAGAAGAACAGATCCCGGAGCAGCGCCGCATGGTAAGCCCGAGTGTAGCTCGGGGTTACCGCTTGTGGTGCTAAAACTTTACCCCGAGCTACACTCGGGAATACTGCCAGGGAGGCTACACTGAGCTCCCATTAGAACAAGATGTTACTAAAGTGGAACTCCTACCGGAACTTATTTTTTCCCCCTTTTGTGTACTTTTAGTTCTTTATGTGCAGATCCTGATGATGGCAGCAGTAACAAGGATAGGGCAACAGTGGATGGGGAACCAGTAAGGCTAGGTTCACACTAGACCGCACGCTGTGGGCATCGATGCGATTCCCACACCCACAACTGCACTGCGGGGGTGACATTCATTCGGAATGGCACCCCTATGCATCTCACCCCAAAGCGTGATCGCAGGTACGGGAACTGCAGGAGTCCGCATGGTCAAAAAAGACCATGCAGTTTCCTTGCGGATACGTTCTGTAAAAGGTGCATGCACCTTTTCCTTGCATGAAAAGCGGGCACAGCAGCCAATTTAAATCTATGGGGTACCGCACCCACATATTAGTGCAAACCAGGGGTATGGGATAATTCATATGAGCAGTTGTGGGTGGTAAAGCGCGTGGTTGTGCTTTTACTGCCCCCAACCGCTACCCCCTTTAGCTGCAGCAGCCGGGAGTGTAAGCATGCTGTGGCCACAATTTATTCATTTCAGGTACTTCTATAGCATTGTCAATGTATGCAGCGCTTTACATATATATTGTACATTCACATCAGTCTCTAATCCTCAAGGGGCGTACAATCTAAAATCCCTAACTCACATTCATACATACACATACTAGGGCCAATTTAGACAGGAGACAGTGAACCCACCAGCATGTCTTTGGAGTGTGGGAGGAAACCGGAGTACCTGGGAGGAAACCCACGCAGACACAGGGAGAACATGCAAACTCCAGGCAGGTGGTGCTGTGGTTGGGATTCAAACCAGCGACCATAGTACTGCCAGGCGGAAATGCTAACCATTTAGCCACTGTGCTGCCCATTATATGCTTTGTTTCATAGCTACAGCAGGAATTATATCCGGTTTGTTTCAGGGGGTGTAGCGCCCACCAAATTCAAGCCACTCAAGAGAATGGGGCTGTTCTGCAAGTGCCTCAATCCAGGGCTTAAAGCAGGCGGTGAGGTGGTGATCCGACGACTCTTCTCTGACTGTCAAATGCTCTCTGAACAGCAATCCACTTGTATGAATGTGCCCTAAGGCCCCATTCACACAACTGCATAGCGGAAACGAGCGTTCCCACTACACAATTTCTCAAACCACGATTCTGTATGTCGCACAGGGACAGCCCATTCATTTGAATAGGCTGTCCTATGTGCATTTGTCACCCATTAAGAAGTCCCTGCTCCTTTTTGGGTGACAAGCTTCAGGCAATTTCCCTGAACCTGTTGCGCAGGAATTGTGGCAGAATCGCATGCCATTCGGGATAATGGCACCCAAACCTAAGATGTGCACCAATTCAGAATCGCAGAGATTCTGCCCGTGATCCCAAATTGCAAGATGTGAAGGGAGCCTAAAACCCATCAACATGCTAAACCTTAAAGTGACCTTGTCACTAAATTATTATTATTAAACAGGATTTACAGTTTGTGCAGCACTTTACAAAATAAAAGGAGAGAGTACAAATACAATACAATTCAGTACAAAAGGGATGTGAGGGACCTGCTCATAAGAGCTTACAATCTAAAAGATCGAAAGCTCCAAAAGCAAGACCCTCCTAATCCTTCTGTATTGAACTGCATTGTAATTGTACTGTCCCCCTTAACATTGGAAAGCGCTTTATAAACTGTTGGCGT